CCAGCTCCATTTCTATGCTCAGAGCTCTATTCCTGGATGGCAGTGCTGGGAGAGGGAGAGAGAGGGAGAGAGGGAGAGAGAGGGAGAGAGAGGGAGAGAGAGGGAGAGAGGAGAGAGAGGGAGAGAGAGGAGAGAGAGGAGAGAGAGGGAGGAGAGAGGAGAGAGGGAGAGAGGGAGAGAGAGAGAGAGAGAGAGAGAGAGAGAGAGAGAGAGAGAGAGAGAGAGAGAGAGAGAGAGAGAGAGAGAGAGAGAGAGAGAGAGAGAGAGAGAGAGAGAGAGAGAGAGAGAGAGAGAGAGAGAGAGAGAGAGAGAGAGAGAGAGAGACAGATAAAATATGTGAGTGTATTTGTGGGAAGGTGTGTGTATCAGAAGTCAATATTTATGCATTTCATATCAATATGGGCTCTTGGAAAAATACAATTATTGTGAATCTATGATAAAATTTAAACTACAATTTATAATATTATTTAAACTGGGTATAAGCAGATTCATATAACAATATATCTGAATAAAAGTATAAAGCCTCTTTTACTCCTTGTTGACTGTCAAAAAGATAATAAACAAATAAGTAAATAAATTAAAAGTAATTAGAATAAATGTGTTAAGTTCAAAGGCACGAAAATCACAACAAAAAAGATTGGCAAAAGAGTCTAAATATTAAAATAAAAAAAATATACAAAGTTACATTAATGGCTACTTTCTTTCTTTTTTTATCATCTTTCTGATAGGTAAAGGGGCAAATTAATGCATTCGTGGAGAAGTGTGTTGTGTCAAGGAATGTGCATATGCATTTTGTGAACAAAGTGAATATTTTCTTCATTTAATTTAACTACTTATCTATTAATCTAGTTATTTTGTTATTACCTGATATATCAAATAAAAAAAAATAATGGCTGTGCTATAAACACTTTTTTTTCTAGGAGGTAATTGAGCAACACCGTATTATTATCATCATTTTTTTGCTGTTAAATTGCTGGAAATATTGTCTGACAAAGTCTCTTAAGTTTCATGCCCTCATTTATCTGTCCAAGTGTACTTAAATGTGTGTGTACATATATCTATCTATCTCTATCTCTATCTCTATCTCTATCTCTATCTCTATCTCTATCTCTATCTCGCTCTCACTCTCGCTCTCGCTCTCACTCTCGCTCTCACTCTCACTCTCACTCTCGCTCTCGCTCTCACTCTCGCTCTCGCTCAGTCTCTCTCTCACTCTCACCCTCACACTCACACACATTACTTTATGTGTCTCTTAGAACCACATATCAAAATATTTCTATACTGTACAAGGACTTATCATAATGTTTATCAAAATGCATAATAGGCATGGATAGTTTTAGGACTATACTCAGTATTCTAGCTGACAATTTATCTACAAATATCCAGCTTACATATAATTTCAGTCCTGGAATGCTTGACATTTGTTAATTCTCAGTGCAAACATACTACTTTCCTTACTCTTTATTCAGTAAATCTGAAGCAAAACCTTTTTTTTATGTATAGCAATTACTGTTCTCTGAAACAAAGGTTCACAAAAACCCTATAGAGGGAACTCGTTAGTAAACAAGAACAGAAGGGGCTTATCTCATTCCCTAATTCTTGAAGTGTCTCTCAGAAAGGTCTTGCCAAACCTTATAGGAGAGCAAGTCACAGATACAAATTACTTTATTGTGTGCCAACTCCCCTCCTCCAAAAGGAATTTTCCAGTCTTTCCTGCCCATACATAAACTATTCCCTGGTTATGGACAGACTGAAGCAATTCAGTTATTACAACTAAATTCACCTATATAATTACCATACTGAATTTGTAAAAAGGAATATGTAGTACGTGTGTTATACTGTGTATCTAATTCATTCACTTCCTGTTTACAACATACGCAGTACGGCATTAACGCTGGAATCTATAAAATTTATTGGAATCTATACATGAGGCATAAAACTATTTGATTCACTACTTATGGTTTATCAAATGAATAAAATACCACAACGAAAGCTTTCCTTTAAGGTGAGTGCTGTGTTCTCATTTCAGATAAGTGCTACACATATAATGTACAAAAACACACCCATACTTATTCATTAATCAATATACAATCACATGCACACATAAACAAAAAACACGCTTACATGTGTCTAAAAATAAGATGTAAGTTTTCCCTTGGTCTATCGCTTTCCTCCCTTTTTTACATGCCAGTCACCATTATAACAAGCATGAATATCCTTACTTCATGTGGTTTTAATAAAAGCAAACTACCTTACTAATGCAACCAAGGTAGAAAGGTTAATCAACAGCAAACTTCTGTGTTTTGTTTTGTTTTGTTTTCCTACTCTCTCATCATTATCCTTTGGTTTAGAAGCATGACAAATATATTCCATGCAGCCAACTGCAAAGCCCAACAAATGGAGATAATACCCATACTCTACATCTGAGGTCCTTATTCTTTTTTGGCTTGTAGACCCCTGGCTGTGATTTGAATCTGGCTGCAATCCCCACCACCTTTGGCGTGAGGAAACCATTCGTTAGGTAACAATTAAAACTTGTCATAGGTAATTAATTCAGTGATTCATATACAACAATCTGGAGCCGCTGTGGGTTCATGGATCTACAGACTTAAGTCCCTATGTAAGATCTAAATAGGATATCCCACCCATTCTACATATATAGTGATTTAAATATTTGCTGGCTATTTACAAGAAGTCAACAACTATTATCACAGACATATCAATCATTAAAAAAACTCACACAAGAAATATAACATGGGAAAGAGCTTAAAAAGACATCAGTATTTCTGTGAAATAACACAACTTAAATTCTATGTTGAAAAACATGTTATCAAACCCCACAATCTGGATGAACTAAAGACCACATCATGAAAAGATTTGGCTTGAGGGGTAGTGACGTGAACATGCCATCATGGGAAAATCTGGCTGTAGGCCGGGATGATGTGAACTTGTCATTGTGAGCATTTGGGCTAAATGCTGGGGTGACAGGAAAGACTCACCACGAGTGCACATCCTCTTAGAGGGGATATAGACTCATTTGGCATTTAGGAAATGGCTCTTGCATTATTTGCATCCATAAACAAGTGTGGAATGTAGTATCATGAGCCATGACTGGAAGAGCACCAGCTCCAGGAAGGATGCCATTTCTATGCTCAGCACTCTATTCCTGGATGGCAGTGCTGGTTGTATTACAGGAAACTGAATATTACAAAAAACATTAAAAAAAAAAAAAATGTTATTTAGTGTTATTATTCTTGCACTGAGTTACAGACAACCTAAATAGATGATATGGAGCTTGTGCAAGGAAAACAAACTATTACCATCTTGATAAGGTAAACTTAACAACAAATATAGACATTGGAAAATGGCTAAAAAGCTAAAACCGCTAAAGTACAAAAAGAGAAAATAACATCGCAAGTGAGAGGCATAGAGTCTTACCACCACACACAAATGTTCGCATAAGCCAGGCCTACAAGCCACACATCCATCAGAGCGACCGCTCATGTGACCCTAATACCCATATTTTGGGCTACAATAGTACCGTGGAGCAAGTAGATCCAATGGGTTACTTTTCATTTATACCTTTTCCTACATTCATCTGAATAATTTCCATTTAACTATAATTATTCAAATATGAAAAAGAGGGGAATAAAAAAAAAAAGATAAAAAGCACTTAGTGTTCAAAGATTATGTTTCTTAAGCCCAATCAAGAATGTTTAAGTATTACCTAACTGCATAATGTTTTCATCAAGAGCACAATAACTTATTTTCTCCATATAACAAAAGCAAAGAAATTATAAACACTCAGATTTCTTGGCAGTAATATTCCCTGCTGTAAGGAGGTAAAAAGCATCATTTGTATATAAAACTACCTTAAAAGCTTCATACACATAAGCTTACATACAGTATAAGGAAAAGCTTATTTCAAAGCACCTGCACTCACTGTCTCATCAATAAAACCTGCCCAACTCTCTGGCTCTTATATTCCATGTAGATCAATACATATAGATCTGAATACATATCTCAATTTAAAACAAGATCTGACACACATCCAACATGGCAAAAGATACACAAACAAGACAGATCTGTCAGTCTAAAGCTCAATGCTTGTCATTATCAGGATGTCATGTTTTATGTGCATATATTATACACTATAAGCTACTGACACTTCTACATACGTTTAATGACGAATCTTTCTAGAAAGCCACAAAATCAAAAATATCACTTTAAAATTCAACATATGTATTTTTCAGTTCATGTCAGAGTAAATATCAGTTGATATGTATAATTTCATGTAGTGCTAAATAGTTTATGCTTAATCTGTGCAATAACTAGTGACAATACACTAATATACAAAGAGAAATATTCCAAAGTTCACTTTTCAATTCAGTAACGGTGATAGTAAAAGCTAAATAAATTCTTCAGAAGTTGAGCCATAATATTTTCTCTGCCACATACAATGCACTTTCTCCATATCTATCCTGCATGTTAGGAGGGAAGTGCATAGACATTTTCTTATGTGTATTTACTGCAGTGGCGAAAACTATGCAGAGCCACCTCTACAACCAGTAATTACCCCTCAATGCATTCTCCAAGTCATATCAGCTCACAAAAACTCAACAAGAAAAAATGGAGAATCCAATCATACTCTAAAATGTCATCTACTATTTGAAAACTGAATAGGATCATGGCCTCTGAAGGTTGAATGCACACATTTTCCCTTCAAGAATTACCACGCATAACTATTTACATAAATTAACAAGCCGCTTTATCCATTTATGTATAATGCCAAAACACTGTAGTAACATATCATCCTAAACAAGTTATAATTCTATAGAAATAAACAAACAAAGCATATTTACAGCATACACTCCACCTCCTTACATACCCAAAGGTATACCCAAACACACATACAATTGGACACATGCACATGCTAACACACAAACACGCTTGAACATAAAATAAAAAATTAACGTCATCAAATATAAAGTGCCTCTTACTTCCAAGCTTCCTGTAGCATTACAAGTGGATGTGATGGATCTGGCGTGAATGACTGGAGACATAATGTTTCGTGATATTGGTTCCAAGCGCTGGCTCTACATTCTCGGCTACAGTAAGACGCCTGCAAGGGAAAGATAAATTTCAGATGTGCTAGTGTGATCATAAATCTAATCATTTCATCCAATGAGCTTATATTTATGATTTAATCTAATCTATTATGCATAATGATTTATTCCAGTGAACTTGCAATTGTAATTCCTTGTATTCATGAATACTTTATGATATAATCTTACTGTAACTACATTATGCTCCAGATGGTACATAAAGATTAAAATTTTTCTGTCCAAATTTACTTCTTTTTTCTTACTTTATTCCTTTACTATCTCACACACAAAACTATCCCTTGTATCCTATACACTATTTTATCAAATGAGTCAAACCACTAATCCACCAAATTAAATGTCTTTTAACATAACTATAAAAGGGGTCCTACTATTTACAGACAACTTCATTGAAAATAATGTCAACTATCAAATTTCTCATAAGAAAAATCTCAAAACATAAGAGATACTTTTAAACTTTGTAATCTTATATTTAAAACACAGAACTTCTAATTCGTACTTACATCGCATTGAGGGCACTCAATAAGGGAGTCTTTCTTTGTGTCACAACATTCAGGGTACGGCAGTGA